GTGAAGAAAGAGTCCTCAGGGCTGGGGTGTGGCTCARTGGTAGAGCGCTCACCTAACCTGTGCAAGGCCCTGGATTCAATCCTCAGCACTACATAAAAATGAATATATAAAACAGAGGTATTGTGTCCAACTACAACTAAAAAAAATAAACATTTAAAAAAAGAGTCCTTTGGTTCTCCTAATCCTCTTTCAAGGCCCCAGTGGAAGAAGGCACGATTAGAGGAGCCCAATATTTGGTCCTATAACTCAGTCCCCCTGCCTGGAGGGAGTTGGAGTGAAAACACATCATCACTTAAAAAACTGTGTTCCCTTATAACTTCTGTTTGAATGTTTTGGGGATATACACAGCCCAGGACATTGTACCCCAGTGCTGCAAGTCTGTGATTTGCTAACGTTCCTCTTATGGTTTAGATCTGGAATATCAGTCAAAGGCTCATGTGTTGAGGGCTTGGTCCCCAGTGGGGCGGTGTTCAGAGGAGGGACTTTGGGGAAATGGTTGCATCATGAGGGTTCTGATCTCATTAGTGGATTAATCCATTGATGGGTGAATAGGCTCTGGGGGAGGTGGGACCTAGTTGGAGGAAGTAGGTCATTGGGGGCATGCCCTGCAAGGATATTTTTCACCCCTGGTGTGTGTCTCTGCCTCCTGGCTGCCATGAGGTGAACAGCTTTTCTCTGCTATGCCCTTTGCCATGTTTCTGCCTCACTGCAGAGAAGCCTAAAATCAATGAAGTCAGCTGACATTGAACTGAAACCTCTGAAAATGGGAGCCAAGATAAATCTTTACTCCTGCAAGTTTTTCTAAGGTATTTGTTGCAATGGCACAAGCTAACATGGTCCCAGTGCCACCTTTTGTTAATGTCAGCTTTATGAAAAATTAAATAACGCACAGTAAGAGGCATCCATTTGAGGCATGCAACAGAATGAATTTGCCACTTGTAAATACCATTCCTGCAATCAAGATACAAAATATTTCTCATCACAGAAGGTTCCTAGTGTCCCTTTGCAGTCCCTCTCCCTCTGACCCAGCTCTGCATAACCTTTGATGTTTTTTTGTGTGTGTGTGGTTATAAATGAGTTTGCATTTTATGTAAATGGATTATTTTGTTAAGGGCTTCTTTTCGCATAATTTTTGTTGTGTATTGTACACAACATAAAAAATAGGATTTTAACCAATTTTAGGTACCATTCAGGGGCCTGAAGTATATTCTCACTGTTTTTCAGCCATCACCATCTACCATACCTGGAACTTTCTCACTTTCCAAAACTAAACCTTTGTAACCTTTAAACACTAGCTTCCCATTCCTCTCTACCTTCTAGATCGTGGCTGGAAATTCCTTGTGAATTTGACTACTTTAGGAAGGTCACGCAAGTGGAATTATGGACTTCTTTCTTTTGGGTCTGATTTACTGTGATATCTTCGAGGTTCGCTCATGTTGTAACCTGGGTCAGCATTTACTTCCTTTTTTAAAGGCTGAAAATATCTCATTGTACATATATACCACAATCTGTGTATCCTCTCATCTATTGATAGACACTTAGGTTGCTTCTACCTTTTGGAAATTTTGAATAATTGTGCTGTGAGCATTGGTGTATGACTGTCTTTCCCAGTTCCTCTGCCAATGCTTTGGGGTGTGTGTTTCGTAATTCTATGTTGAATTTTTTAAAGGAATATCCATAATGTGGCTGCACCATCTTACAACATTGCCTTTGGTATGTTTTGTTTTTGTAAGTTTTTCAAAACATTTTATTGGTCCATAATAATTATACAGAATGATGGGTGTCATTGACAACATTGTGTTTTAAACAAAGTTTTTCATCAGCTTTCTTTTTTTTTTTTTTTTTTTTTTGTCGGGGAGGATACTGGGAATTGAACTAAGGGGCACGCAGCCACTGAGCCACATCTCCAGCCCCATTTTACATTTTATTTAGAGACAGGGTTTCACTGAGCTGCTTAGCACCTTGCCATTGCTGAGGCTGGCTTTGATCTTTTGATCCTCCTGTCTTAGCCTCTAGGATTACAGGCATTCACCACTGTGCCTGGCTCATCAGACTTCTTGTTCTGATTATTTCCTCACTTTACCAGAAGACACACCCTTGGACTTGTTGTACTCCTGTGTGATGATGATCTTTTTCTTCAGTATCTGAGTTTCTGCCTTTCCAGGTCTTTCAGACGGATTTAATTGCTCAGAAAATTTGCTCAGTCATGATAACTTCAAGTAAAATGATACTGCTTAATTTCTCTTAGCTCTAGTTACTTCCCTCTGTGTCCTACCTGGTGCTCATTAGCTGTAGTTATTGGAAAACTTCCTTGTTATCCTATTACCTGTATCATTATACAACTATCTATATCCTATTAACTCTTTCCACCTACATTAGCCTTTATGAGAGAGACTGTTGTGCCATACATCATACTTATATGTGTTTAGCTATGTTTGTTAAGTAATCCACTTTAACTATGTTACCCAATCTTTTGCAACTATGGTCTGACTTACTAGCAACCTGTTCATAATACCTTCAATGCTGCTGAGGTATGATCTGTTAAAACTCATCCCTCACTTAGATCTTGTTTTGTCCAGGTATCAAAAACCCAGTAGGAAGTTAAACGTATCATTGATTCTAGGGACTCGACCTTGAATGTGCAGAGAATGTAGAGGGTCTCAGTTCTAAAGCACCCTTTTAAGAAGGCTCTTTTCCTTTGACCAGTGCTGTACTGTTCATCAGGCTGCATGAGTCATCTTAGTGGTGGTGGTGGGGGGAGAGCATGCACATGTGCTTGGGGTGTGTTGAGGGGCTGCTCAGTGKGGGGAGTGAGGGTTGGAAAGTGGGAAGCTGGGTGAAGAGCGAGATCATGGAAGTCTGAGCAAGGAAGGCCGGGGAGAGGTCAGTGTTCCTTGGTCACAACAGAACCCTTTTTGACACCATCATTTTGTGATGACTGACAAGGCTGTGTGACTGCTCATCATAGAGGCTCTGGGAAAGTTGCCAGAACAACGGCCCATCCCATTTGCTGTTCAGTTTTGGTATTCTGTCCTCATCTGAGCCCAGAGGGAGGAGGGTCTGCCCAAAGGCCACTTCCACCTGCCTGGGTCACATGAGTACTTGGGTAGCAGCTACCTCAGTCAAACCTTGTGCCTATAGGCAACCCAAAAGAGAGTGATGTTAGGGTCTAGGACAGGGCCAGACATGAAGTGTTGGTTGGTTGGTGTGGAAAAGTGACTAGAGAACTTTTTTTTTTTTTATCAATTTTCTTATTCCTGGAAAAGCTGGTATCGACTGGGGTTGCATAGTACAGTAGGGTTTTGAGTCTTTTAACTGGATGGCATATACATACAGTAAGAGTAGGGAGATCTTTCAGGGCCTACATATGGCACACACTAAATGTGATGGCACCTCACCTCTGGTTGGCATTGGGGCTGTTCCTCCTCCTAGTCCTACGTGTAGGGTCATCTCCTGATAAGCACAGTGGTCAAGCACAGCTGGGCAATGCCCTAGGCCCAGCTTTGTGCAGGAAACGCCCCTGTTTGCCCACCTCTGAGCTGGCCTCTGGGCCCTCTGTTTACCAAATACCCATTGATGTCTCACGCCAAACACAGCTGAGTCCAGGAGTGCTTCCTGTGTCCAAAGCCCTCTCCCCTCATCCAGCACCTAGAGCCCACTGAGGAGCTCCTGCCGACAAGTCCCCTGATTTCTGTGTCTGAGCCACGGAGACATCTAAGGACCCCCAGGCAGAATGGGTCCCTCTTTTTAAATTTTTTTATATGTTCCTTGTAGTTTTACATGACAGTAGAATATATTATGACATATTATACATACAWGGAGTATAACTTCCCATTCTTGTGGTTGTACACCATGTGGAGTTACCCTGCTCATGGATTCATACATAAACATAGGAAATGTATATCCGGTTCATTCTTTCTATTCCCATCCCTTCATTTCCTTCATTCCCCCTTTGTCTAATTCAGTGAACTTCTAGTGTTGCCTCCCCACTCCCCATATTGCATGTTAGCATCTACATATCGGAGAACATGCGGCCTTTGGTTCTTTGGGATTGGTTTATTTCACTTAGGATAATAGTCTCCAGTTCCATCTATTTCCTAGCAAATGCTATAATTTCATTCTTCTTTAAGGCTGAGTAATATTCCATTGTGTGTATGTACTACATTTTCTCTCATATTTCTAGCCCTGCCTGTCTACCTGCCCTTTCCTAGGATGGCCTGATGGTCACATTTTGGGTGGTTTCTCTGGTAGTTTGTCCTTGTCCCTTTCCACCCCAGAAAAAATTGTTCATCCCAACTGACTCAGTTTAAATGTGCTCTGGAAACTGAATCATAAATCCTACTGTGTGTGTTTGCCTTTCCCAAGATGGAATGAGAGTGCCTTTAACACAATACGGAGTCTTTTGATTTTGGTCCCTCATGTTCTCCAAAATCCCCAACCACAGTTAGAATAAGTGAAACATGTAGAAGACATGAAGATCATTAAAAACAAATGCTCAGCAGAAACATATTAATTTTAAAAGATGAAGAAAATATATTCTAAGACAAATATTTGTAGAAGGAATCACTAAAAGCTTCGAGTTTTGAAATCAAATGTTAAATCTGGAGTTTCGATTTCTGTGTACATACAAATGTCACTCATTTCAATATAATGGTCAGTCTATATTTTGAGATTTACTGTGGGCCTCGTGAAAATTTTTTTTGGGGGGGTTGATTATCTAAAGCTTTAGTCCTCTAAGTACATATTCTTTAAAACCCTGCCCTATTCTAAGTGTTTGCATTTGTCACAGGACACCTGTCTTTTTATACTGAGCCCGTTGGACTGTGGGACTCTGCTTACTGGGGTTTCAACAAGAGCACTTTCAGGAGCTAAAGAGCTGGTGTACAACAATGCCTGTGCTGTTTCTCATGTTGCCTTCTCCCCAGGGGACAGTTTGCCCATGTGGGAAAGTTTGCCCCCAAACTTCTGACCATTCTTCCATCTCTGTTCTCCCCTTACAGGCTGGCCGTGGGTGACCCTCTCTGTCCTGGGATTCCTGTATTGCTATTCCCATGTGGGCATTGCCTGGGAACAGACATATACCATGGACTAGTGCCACCAGGCCCAGGCCAACATCCAAAGCAAATGGTACTTCACCGTGACCTCTTACTCTAAGATAATCTCCAAGGGATTATCTCCTGCTCATCTTCTGTTGAAGATACCTCACTTCAAGACTGGCAGCTTAAGCTCTCATAGAAATTTTACAACCAGACTATCTTCTGACTTCTGGGTCTTAAGAGATTTTCTACCCAAATACTGTCAGTTTCCTGTTGGGTAAGCTGAAGTGCAGGGCAGCAGATCAACTTGCCTAGCTATACAGGGCAACAATTTGGTCTAGAACCCAGCCCCATTGACCCTTTGAGTTCTTTCTCCTTTACCAAGAATTACCTGGAATGGATATTTCTTGATGGAGCACAGAAATCCTGACTAGTGATAGGCCTGTCCTCCCCTGCGTAGTATTTCTGAAACATTTTTACCTCCATTTTGGTGACTTCTTTCCTATGATCTACATTGTGGGCTCTAGAACCAGAAGCAGAGTTGGACTTCCACACATCAGCTCCTCAGCAAGGAGGTGACAAAGACACAGCTGGTTCTGATGACCTATGCAAAGATGAAGGCAGTCTTGTGGCATTCTAGGGAGTCTATACCCAAGGAGCCTCATGACTTGAATTCCATTAGGGTAATCTACCTTTGCCTATTCATTCCTGAGGTTTGCAGGGATATATAAACATGGTAATTCCTCTGACGTTTTCCAATAAAGAAACAGAAATATGAAAACCAGGGAATCGGTGTGTCCACAGCCGGGTGCCACTGGGCAAGTCACAAAAGGTGAGGATGGCATCCTGTGGTCTCCATCTCCACTCAGGTCCCCAGTCACCATCCTACTCAGTAGTTCATGTTCGCTGGTGTATGTTGCCCCATTTTGATTCAAATAAAATGGAGTCTTTGTGTTACAGAGAAAATTCAGATTTTTCTAGAATTAGAGTATTCTTAAGGAAAATGTTTAAAATCTCAGCAGTTATATAACTCCAGAAAAAATGCTGGACAGGCTACCAATATCCAAGTGGTAGATAGCTTAGGAAATTTGTTTGATTTTTTTTTTTTTGGATTTATTTGTGGAACAGACATTGAATGTTTACAATTTGAATCCATAGTGTATCTAATTTTGGGAGAATTAGTAACATCCCTAGTACATGAATTGTCGTTGAGTGACAGGTGAAGGTTCACTTGAACCTAGCTACTGTCTCTCATTTGTTATATGGTATTGCCTTGGGTCTTGGCTGTGGTTATCAACTTGATGAGACTTAAACTCCTAGGTGCAGGACCAATCATCTTGTTGACTCCCTTTCTTCCTAGCTGCTCTGATTGGAAGAGAGATGGGAGGGAACCAGACATTGATGAGCTGGCATGGGCACAATGTGTTAGTTGAAACAGGACAGAACAGAGCAGCTGGCAGACCTGGCAGCAGTAGACTCCACAGCTGGCTGGATAAAGGAGAAGAGACACGGCAGGAGATTCCGAGGTGCTGAGAAGTTATAATGACGGAATGAGCTTGAGGGAATGCAGTAGAACTTGGAGGAACACTGAATCAGGATCTGTGGTTCACCTGGAAGGGGTGTGGCGAAGTTTACTTGGAAGGAAAGGGCTTGCTAAGAAAAAGTACAAAAATGATTGTTGGGAAGTGTCTAATATACGTAGGTATGTAAAACACAAGATTTGAGGTTTTTCAAAAACCATTTATATAAAAATACATTTAGTCAATCACTAAACTGTCCTGGACAAGGCAGTAGATGTGTTTGAAAGTAATAATCCTGAATTACTTTTATGCTGTGATTCAGAATGGTTCTCGGTATTTAGTAAGCTTATTGTGTTTAACTCTATTTGAAGCCTGGTTAACCAGTGTATGTGTTATGTAGTACTACTGTTTTCTTTAACCTTTTCCTGATCCCCAACTGTAATGCGGAAATGACAATACTTCTTTTTTTTATGGATATGAATTAAAATCCTGGAGTTGCTTTAAACAAAAGACCCTTGAGGTGGCTGGGCATGCAGAGCTGTTCAGCTGAGGAGCATCAGATGTGTTACTAGCCCTGGGCAACTTCAGACAGGGTGTGGGGAAGAGAATGGACAAGGTCCCAGGGTCACTTCCAGCCCCAGGATCTTCTGACCTCAACCTGGCTCTGTGGGCAAGACCTGGCTCTGCACTTTACTGCCAAGATGACACCCAAGGAGAGAAGTAAGACACCTGAAGGTCAGTGAAACCTCTATCACTCTGATTAATTCCTGGAACCACAAAAGAGAAAAGTATTTATGCTGTGATTCAGAATGGTTCTTGGTAATTAGTAAGATTACTGTGTTTAACTCTATTTGAAGCCTGGTTAAACGGGGTATGTGTTACGTAGTACTACTGTTTTCTTTAACCTTTTCCTGATCCCCAACTGTAATGTGGAAATGACAATACTTCTTTTTTCATGGATTAATTTGTTGTTTTCAGATTAATTTGTTGGAAGTGACTGCACAGAATGTTTTGTTCTGTTAAAGACCACAGGCCTAGAGAGAGAAATGTATCAGACATATGAAGATCTACGTACTAGGAGAATAGCAATTTAGGTGTGAGTGTGGAAATGGGAGATCCTCTTAGAGAATTTGAGACTGCTTACTTGACTAAATATCAGAAGTAAACTCTAATATAATGCTTTTGCATTTAGCTGACTCTTATGGTTTAGATATTAGGTGTCCCCCCAAAAGCTCATGTGTAAGACAATGTAAGAAGGTTTAGAAGTGAAATGATTGGGTTTTGAGAGTATTAACCCAATCAGTGTATTAATCTCCTCATAGGGGTTAACTGGGTGGTAATTGGAAGCAGGTAGGGTGTGGCTGGAGGAAGTGGGTCCCTGGGAGTTTGCCTTTGGAGTTTGTATTTTGTGAGCTGAGTTTAGCTGCTTTCTTCTGCCACACTCTTCTGCCATGATGTTCTGTCTCGCCTTGAGCCCCAAGGAATGGAGCCAGTTGTGGATTGGGACCTCTGAAACTATGAGCCCCAGATCAACTTTTCCTTCTCTAATTGTTTTTGTCAGGTTCTTTAGTCACAGCAGTGAAAAAGCTGACTAAAACAGATACACCAGTAGAGATCCATACTGTAGGGTTTGCTGCAGTGTGGCCAACATGAGAAGCCAGATTATCAACAGTGCAGGGCTTCACCGTGTAGTACTCTCAGCACGGGCCTCTCTGAGGCCTTTCTTCAGAGAAATGTTTTATTTGGAAACAAAAAAGTCTTCATTTAAAAATAGTTCAATCCCATTTGTCACCCAAAATGTAATATCTGTGATCTATATTACTAGTCCTTTTGACTAATTACAAAAGTCATTCACAAAGGTAGTATTTTGTCACCATTAAGAACAACTAAAAAATTGTGATGTTCAGTGCATCTATTAGTTGACATTTTTGAGATTAATGTCAATCATTTGCAATTTTAATATCACCCTTGAATTATTTTCATTATGATATTCTGCAGGGTAATTTAATAGAGACTGGGGAAAAAACATTAAAAGTACTATAGTCATATTATGGCATTAGGAGATGAAGCAGAGACCTGAGTTTAGCTTGTATGTCATAGATGCCTCATCTCTGAATTTAGTTATATTGTCTGTTAAAACAGAAGTGCCATTTTTGAGATGTAGTCCATTGGGTATTAAATAAGAATTCAGATTGGCAATATTGTGGAGTCTTGCCATGAGCAAGAAACGATACCTATTAAAATTATAGCAGAACTGAAATCGTATTGGTGTGTAGGCCAATTTAGAGTAAGAAGTCTTCATCTTAATAGCTTCAAAAGCTCTCAATGAAGTAGAGCAAGGTCCAGAACTTGTATTATTGATACTGAGTCATTTAGAAAGATTGAGTTATAAACCCTTCATCCATTTTGGAAGGTAACTTCTCAGTGGGAGTTCAACTTTCAGTGTGTTAAATTAACATGTCACGCAAATTTCAGTGGTTCCAAATTGCTGTGGCTTAAAATTTGACACCACTGTGGCATAGTTAGGAGGCAGAACCTTCAAGAGGCGATTAGATTGTTAAGAGAGATTAATACCTTTATTGTGGAACTGGGTTAGTTTTTGTCATAAAGCAAGCCTGCCTCATCTTGTCTTGGTGACCCATACCAACTTGCCCTTCCAATTTCCAGCATGTTATAAAGCAGTATGAGGCCCTCACCAGATGTGACCACCTTGTTATGGACTTCCAGAACCTTCCATCCTCCAGAACTGTGAGCCTTAATTTCTTATCTTTATAAATTTCATAAGTTCTTTTTATAGCAACAGAAGTTGTTAAGACACATATTGTAAAGGTGATCTCTATACACTTATAAAGCAAATGCAGCTCTACCTCAAGACAATATGGCGAAGCAGCACTTTGACACAACCTTGGTGTCTCTAGAATTTTAAGTTCTCAAAAAACCACAATTATAGGTGTCATTCAAGTTAGAGCTTCCCAAGTCTTGGAATAGAAAATGCCATCCTTGCTCTATCATCTTAGGTCAGAACACCCAACTCAATGATTTATTATTATATAAGGAAAGGCAAAAGCAAGCATCATGTATAAAATAGTTTATTACCATAATAAATAAAATTAAACTTTTTTTTTTACAAATATTATTTGTGCTTGTTTAAAAATGTTGAAGGGAATATCATCAAGGGAGGGGCCCGTGTGTTCCTCTTAACATTCCCAAGCTGCAGATATACAGTGGAGTTCCTGGCAGCATCCTCAGCTGACCACAAAAATAGTATCAGCTTATTTGCACTTGCTTATTCATGTTCATTTGGACAAAGTGACAGATGCAAAGGAAAAAAAATACCAAAAAAGGATTTGGCAGGACTCAATGGAAAGATCGTTAATATAAGGAGAAGCCCCAGGATGATGAACTGCTCATGAGTAGAAATGTCCTTGCAATGAAGTGTGGACAGTCTCCAACTGATGCATAAATACAGTGTCTGAATACTAAGAGAATACATTCATTCGGGTAAGGGGTTGCATCCTTAACATACGAGGAGTTCATCTCCTGATACAAGATCTGTGAACTTGTCTTTGAATAACTAATGGATGCACTGGATGACTCAGAAATCACCAACAAAGAGACAATGAGTCTAAGAAAAGTTGAATGGCAGGCAGAGGGGGCACCTCCAGGGTATACAAGTACAGTTTTAGAGGTTCCAGAATAAGTCTGATATGCTTGTATGAGAATGAAGTTTCATTTGAAACTCATTTAAGCTTCAGGTAAATTCACATTGATTCTCTTGAAGTGTGGGGGCAGGGGTAGACATCAAAACTTTTCACCACCTTTGGTGAGAAAACGAAGCTTTCTCTGATGGCTGCAGTTGGTTCTAAACGGAGAGTGAATTCTCCTCCTGGTGCAGGGTTGAGGAGGACCTGGTGAAGGTAATTCTTATTGAAGCAAGTGAGAAGGCAGTAACAATGACTTATAGGAGAGGGTATCCAGGGGTTAGAGTGTACCCTCAATGGACTTCCTCTTTAAGCAACAGTAAGAGAGAGGAGAGGAAGGGGCATTGGCAGCTCCATCACAACTGGAGTTTCATTCAAAGGTCTTAAGGCTAAACATCTTTATTGCAAAACATAGTACATTCTGTTAATCAAATGCATATCAGCAACTTCTATCACCACCAGGGCTCCTAAAATGTCCTAGAGTGTATGTGTGAGATGTGGTTGGTGCAGCAAGTGGAAATAAGAATATTCTCCAATTAGTATTCCTAAAGAGTTCTGACAGCATCCTCACACCAACTTGGCTTAATACTTTCACTTTACACCTAAGATTTGGAAGATAAAGCTTGACACATGGGGTAAGATGGTGAAGTGTATTTTTGCCCCTTGCCCAGCTATTTCCACTTTTGAAGATTCTAGGAAAGGAGCTGATGTATTATTAACAACACAGAAGATCCAGGAGGTCAAGTGTAAAACAGGACTCAGGAATTGGGCCCAAGAGATCAAAAGCACTAAATGTATTTCCAAAACAATGAGCACAGTTTTAAAACACTCGGGACATGTTGTAGCCTTTTTAGCAGATGTAGCACTGCATTAATGCAATCAAGTATTTGCATTAATTGTGCACTAGACTAGAGCTTTTCAACCAAATGGCTGCCTCTATCCAGCAGAAGAACTCTTTGTGGGCTGTGGGATGGCAGCACATGTTGCTGGAATTGGCACTTTCTACCAAGAACCAACACATCATCTTGTTTCTCAGACTTATACCCCACACCCCCATCAGCAGGGAAGAAGAGTATGTTCAACAGGCAGCCCTAAGTGACAGGGGCAGGACCTCCCCAATGAATGACATTCAAAATATGCAGAGATCAGGTAACCAGCACTTACTGGACAACGGTGCAACATATTGGATGCCTGTCCCCTCCAAAATGAAAAATAATGTTGTAAAAATATCTCTAATTTTCCTGAAGTCTAAATGTTGGGTCTAATCCCTAGCAACCTTTGGTTTCCTTAATTCTTTTCAGCCACCAGATGGTTTCTGCTGGAAGGTGTAGGTCAGTGGTATCTGAGATTTGTGGTCCTTGCTTGGGAATGCGGAGTTGTATCCTGGCAAGAGTTAGTTAGGTAGCACAAAGCAGCCTGTGGCCAAATACACGTAAAAGGAGTGGCTCATTGAGAACTGTTTTTTCAATGGAAAAAAAAAAAAAACTAAGATCCTTAAATGGACAATAAATGCAGATGCAGCCATACTCCCGGTGTTCTGTCCCCTCCAGGAACTTATATTGTGGGCTCTGTAGTCCAGAGATGAGCAGAGTCCCCCTGAGGGGTCTGGGCTTCCCGTCACTATCTCACTTTGATACTAGAATGTATTTYTGAAGCTCTTTCCCAAAGCAGGTCTGGACTTCAGAGCCTCATTAGCATCTTTGCTCTCGGGCAGGTGGTGTAGCAGGGGTAGATATTTCTTAATGGGTAGAGCCTCTCCCCACTGGCTGTGAGGTGCTGATAGAGGCCTGTCATCAAGTCACCAGAGAAGCAAAGGAAAAACCTAGACAGGTGTTTCTAAAGCTGGGGTGATTAGGGGTTCTGCCCTAAAGTAGCAGGTCCTAAGCTTTAGAAGCAGGTCCGTGAGCATGTTGAAGGAATAGCTAAGTGGAACATTTAGGGGGCAGATAGGCTATAAAATATCTGGAATAATCCTATGCCCCAAGGATTCATTAGCAGCTGCTCAAGTTAAAGTCTAATGCTCACCCAGCTTTAGCTGGTCACAACCAGGTGTGACTTGGCCTTGGGAAATGACACTTTCCTGGAGGCCATTTGAGGCCAAAAGCTACTTGTGGACATGCCTTTGACCTCTCAGGGCCATCTCTGGAAGCTCTGCACAGACAGGTGAGATCCAGGTCCTGGGAAATGCTGTGTGGACAGGCAGGCTCATTTTGGAAATGCTGACTATCTTTGGTAGGGCAGGTCTCCACCTATCAGGTTCCCTAGGGGCACTGGAATTCAGAATCTTGACAGCAAAGCAAAACCAGGGACAGGGTCAGGACAGTGTGGCAAAGGTCAACAGCCTGGATAAGGGCTAGCTGTGGTCCGACTTCAGGGCTGCGCTTCTGCCTTGCTTGTTTAGAGGGTTAGTGTCCCAACACCTCACTTGAGGGTGTGCAGTTCTTTCTTTTCCTGAACCTTGAGTAACCTGATCCTAGCTAATGAAGCAGCAAGTGTCCCTGAGCATCATGGGACTGGGGCAGCCCACAGACAGTTCTCTGATCAGATATTCCCCCATGGACCGGTTACTGAAAAAACTCAAAACTCTGCTGTTGTGTTCTTGTTTATCATGGTCCTGTCTTCATTTAGTAGGAAAGAGGTTGCTTTCAAATAAGGCCAAGCATGGCTCCCAAGTGTCCTTTAATGACCCCATGCAGTGTACAAAATACAAACTTCTGAAGGACAATCCCCATGAGAATGAAAATATAAACATATCACTTGCTACAATCATTTTACTGAGGTCATATGTGTGTCTGTGAGTAAAGCAACTCTGGGCTCACGCCCCATCCTGCCGATGCTCCATACCCTGAGGAATGCCATGGGAACACTCGGGAAGAGGTCGGGAAGGAGAGTAGTCTGTGCAGTGAGGCCTGCGGCATGGAGCAGGGCCAGAGGGCCACCCACAGCCTCCCTGTCAACGGTCCCATGGGAGCAAGCTATGACTCGGGCAGCAGAGTCCTTGGAGGCCACAGGGCCCTACCTGTACCTACTGTTCAGCCTTCAGCAGAGATGTGTGAAAGGCTCTGTACTCCCAGCTCCCCTTGTCCCAAATGATAACAGGAAAATAGATGGTGACGTAAGACAGGCTGTACAAGGTTGGGGAACGCTGGGAAGTCCCTGCCCATACCTTGGTCTTTGGGGGTGTCAGTGAAGGAGCTCTGCATGGTATATACATGAGGGGTTCTCTGTACTCTCCCGTCAATCCCTAAATGGCTGGTTCTTCTTTTCTGGTAATTGTAACCTTTTATAAATATCACGGTAGTAAAAAAATTTAAATACCCTTTAGACGGCACACCCTGCTTCCAGAATTGTGCAAAGACTGTTCAGATGTGGCTGCCATCTTGCAGGGTGGGGCACGAGATGCTTCCTTTTTTTCTGAAAAGAGCATGACCCCACCTGAGCCACTGGTCCCACTTTGAAAATTGTTGGTCAGGTGTGGTGGGGTGTTGTCTAGGGCAGGGGTGCAGATTTTTTTTTTCTTTTTTGACCTTTTTAAACAAACCTCTCAGCTGGCCCCAAAAATGTCTCTCTCTGAATCTGGGGACTGAGGCCTCGATATTTCAAACAGCTCCTGAGGCGACTGAGAGGATCTTCTGGAAGTTAATATCCTGAGTATCTCCGAGAGCTGTTTCTCGATATTGGTCATTTTGGCATTCAAGGCCTTGATGTCCTCCTTGAGCTCGTGCTTCACCTCCAGAACTGTGGCCTGCAGCGTCTGCTCGGGGATGGGGTAGAAAGAGTGCTTGACCTCTGCCAGGATGGGGCTCCGGTCCTGGGGACTCCTGGCCTCGCCCGCGTTGTCCAGGCGCAAGTCGCTCTTGGTGATGCCGCTGTCACACGAGTCTGTCTTCTTCAGGGTGGCCTCGCCTGAGGCCTTTGACCTCTCGGGGAGCGTCTCCATCGACTCGGCCTTGGAYACCTTGTTCCAGTCCTCGCCCTTCCCACAAGCATCTTTGAAGCGGGCCCAGCCTTTGCGCTTGGCACAGTCCCCGCCACCTCCCTTGGGGCCCAGGCACTCGGACCCCGGGGCATGCAGCTTGGCGTGGTCTGACACCACAGAGGTGGAGGCCGCCTGGAAGGACACGGGTGTGGCAGGGCTCTCTCGGACCGTGACCACGCTGGCCTTCACCAGGCAGTGGTTGGCTGAGCCATGCTCCGTGAGGGTGTTGCCCTTCTCCACGTCCAGGTCGTCCAGGTCGCGGCCCCCTCTCTCCGCCGCCAGCCTGGCCTCTTTCTGCTGTCGGAACCTCTGGAAGAGTCGCCGGACAGGATGGTCAGGGGGCAGGATGAGGGGGGCTTCGTTCTTCCGTTTCATGCGCTCCTCCTCTTCCCGTTTCACGTCACTAATCTTCCGGAACACGATCTGGAAAGAGACAGAATGACATGCTGTGTTAACAGGCTCCAGCAGCCCAGGTTGGCCATTCTGTCTGTCACGACTCTGTCCATCTCACAGGCCTCTGGGACTGTTCTCCTAGCTGATATCACTTTCCTTTTCTCTAGATCAGGGAGTTGGCACCCACTGACATCTTCAGGAGGAAGAAATTCCATCCTTGATTTCCCCCCATTTTCTGGGAATCTGGAGACCCCAAATAGTATCCTCCCAGCAGATTGTCCTAGCTTTTGCCCTTGGTCCGCATTTAGCATGTTTTTACCTGCAATTCAGAATTAGCTGGTAAGCGTTTAAAAAAATCACTTTTCTCTTGTGACCTCCATTAGAATCTTCAATAGGGGAAGCTCTTGAATCTAAAAGCAGCAGTTCCCTAGAGATTCTGATACACAAAAATTGGAGCATTGCTGATCTAAACCACACTCTAGAGCCAGAAAGTTCAAGTGAGTCTCTAGGTATGACTGCAGCTAGGGCTGCCACTGACAACTGTAGATCTGAATCCTACCCATGCTTGTTTGTGACAAGTAAAAGTTCATCTCCTCCAGAAGCCCTCCTTTTCTTGGGGAGTTTACAGTAGAACAAAGATCCTTGAATATACACTTGATCTAACGATAGTACCCAATACTTGGGCATTGTGTGCAGTGCATAAGGGAAGTTCAATGCTACTTCACTCCTGTAAGATTATTGAGACATACGCTATTATTACCCTCTGAAATTGGAAAACGTCACATATCAGGTAAATTGCCTGTAAGAAACCATAGATCCATACTGCATGAAGAGAATAGACAGKAGATGTGAGATTCTGGCTCTGAGTATGTATAAGCTGAAAATTACAGGGTTTTCCTTGGCCATCATCTGGTTATTGGGAAGGCCTATAATTTCTAACTTTCATTGCACGTGGCATTTAGACTCCAATATATGACCCATGCCATATCCGGAGGTGAGGGAAGCAATAGGTTGTCTTTTWAATATTTTTTTAGTTGTCAGTGAACCTTTATTTTATATATTGATACATGGTGCTGAGAGTTAAACCCAGTGCCTCACACACGGCAGGCAAGTGCTCTGCCACCGAGCCACAACCCCAGCCCCATAGGTTGWGTTTATTTTAATGTGAATTGCTCATTTTAGGACCAGAGGGATTGCAGATGGAAAAGTAGCAACAAGGCCCCATATATGGGAGAGGACCAGCTTTTCCATCATCCCAATCTGGAACACCTTATGCCTGTACACAGCCCTGGACCAACCCAGTCTGCCTTGAGGACTTGCCCTATGACCCTGGTGTGCCGGGGACATAAACTTTGGTTTAAGTCCCAGGTCTAACACCTAGTCCTGTAACCTCAGATAGGTATCTTGGCTTCCTCCCTAGAAAACATGAAAATCTGTACTTTTTAGACTTGGGTATGAAGGGGACATGAGGTGACCAAGGTAAAAGCCCTGACCCACTGCAGATGCCCACATGAATCTTTTCCCACCCTGTTAAGGTCCCTAGATGCAGACAGTATGAGACTCGCCATTTCCCTGAGTTTTCTGACACCTGATGGTACTGCTCCATAGGTTTTCAGGTATGACCAAAAGATGATCATTTTATAGTGCCCAGCACAGAGGAGCCCAATAAACATTCATTGCTTACTGCAATGGATCAGTTGGCAAATCATAAATCATTGACAGACTGAAGTCTTGTGCCTGTAGTCTGACTACTTGGTTTAAGCGTCCGACACTGGATGACTTTACACTGAAGTCGGAGGTGGGTATTAAGGTATTACCTCTTGCCACCTGGTTAAATCTTCAAGCTACTTACCTGAGTCCCACCCTGTATATGGCTCTAACCTCTGAGGGGCAGCATTTCTTGCCTTACCAGTCAACCCCTTTCTGCTTGCTCTACACTTGTTCCCCTATTATCTAGGCTATAGATCAAAATCCTAGAACTCCAGAGAATCCTGTCTGCTCCAAAGAGACCCAGGTAATGACAAAGGGGCGGTGGCAAGTACAGACACTTGCCCCTTCCACCCATTCTTCTGCATATGTAATCTCTGTTCTCCAGGGATGTCAAATTCTCCCCACACCAGGGCCCAGCTCAAATAGCACCTTCTCCTCCAGAAAGCCTTCCCTGAGCTTTGTTATCTTTCTGCCTCCCAACCTGAACAGCACTCTCTGCTTGTACCCTCCTGTCCTTCTTACTCCATCTTGTAACCATTTGTGGTAGAGATGCATTAATTTCCTTCCTACTCACATCCCTTTTTAGGGCAGAAGGGGAACAGCGAGTAAGGGAGGATGGAGGTAAGGAAAGAGGATTTGAATATGAATGTCTCCAAGAGGAGAGAGAACTTTTGGAGATAATTACTTTGGTTTGTGCTCCTTATTTCTGTCAGAACTCTCTCCTCCCTTTTTAACTTGAGCTACTTTAATCAGGTTTTATTCCTTATAAGCAACAGTTCCTGAACAAGATACCAGTTGTTTAATCCATCTCTCACCCCCCTCTGAAAGCTCATAGGGTTTAGAACAGAACTTTTTCACACTTAGAAGCTGCTTATTATCTGCTTTAAGAGAAGAAGGATTATCTCTTATGTTCATGATTCCCAGCTCTTCAGAGTGTCTGGTGTCTAGGGCAGCCTCAATAACTATTTGTGGTTAGGGTGGAACACTGAATGGTCAGACACAAATTTGGTGTCGCTGTTCTTGTCATATGAAATAAGAGGGTGCTCATTCTGTTCTCCCCCACCCCCCTAGTGCTCAGGATTGAATCTAAGGCCTTGTGCAATCCAGTCAGGCACCGAGCCACATCCTCCTGAGTGGTTGTTACAAGTGAGCACACGGCAAGAGCAGACCTTTTTTAATTTTGGTGAAATCTAATCTGTATTATGTCTATGAACTCTTTCCCATTTAAGGTCATGATTTATTTCCTTTTTTTCCAAGAGTTTTTCAGTTTTACACTTAAGTCTATAATCAATTTTGATTTATCCTACCAAGTTCACTTTTGTTTTTCTCCCCTGGGCATAGAGATCCAATTGTAACATTGCCATTTGTTGAAAAGGCTATTCTTTCTCTGCTCTATTACCTTTGCATTTTTTTTAAAAAAATTATGTATGAGCAGGTGTATTTCTGGGTCCTCAGATCTGTTCTGATGTGAGCTGACATCTTGACTCTTTTGACCTATAAACAAGGTATTTCTTCCCAGTTATTTGTAGTTTTCATTTTACAGGTTTATCAAGTGTTTTGTCAGTATTACAAATTTCAGATTGTAGTTTTTAATGAACAAATATAACTGTTAGATTTGGAAAAAAAAACTCTTTGTGGAATAAGTGAGTAACAGGTAAATACTGTCAGTAGGAGGATGTTTTTGGCCTGGAAAGATGAACTCACAGGCATCATAGTCCACATTATAAAAGAGTTTGCTCAGAACACCCTTGGTCCTTTATTAACACTCCTTATACCCAACATCAGGGGCAGCCCTTGAGAAGAGATGTGCTATGACTAGAGGCTACAACACAAAACTTATCCCGAGAAGCTGTTCAGCAGGAGTATTAAGGTAGGTTTACGAAGGTTTGATATAAATTTGAGGTGGATGTTCCTGGTGGGGGGATGTGTGGCTACCCTGTACTGGCTCTTTAGTTGGGTGGCCCATGGATCAGAATCGTGGACTGACCCAGACAGCATATTCAGATGTCACATGTACCTTGGGAGGGGACATGGGTCTACATAGACTCATCTGAATCCTCTTGGCTTCCAAAGTGTTATTATCTTTCGTGCCTGAGGCAACCCATCTGAATGGCCCTGTCTCAACCAGTGGGCAAGTGAACCAAAGCTTCATACCCTGCAGCGATGTCAGTACTCCCTCTTGAGAATCAGTAAGACCAACAACCCCCAGGGGACAAGGCACAGGAGTTCTTACAGAGCTCATGTGGCCTAACGGCTCTGCTGATCTGGGATTGAGGGCTTATTTCAGTTGCTTTTTTGGAGAAGTTAATCATAGTCTGCCTCAGAGGCAGCTATGACCATGCATTTTGACAAGTATTTTAGATCCGAGTGGGCAGGGGTGGCTGCGTGACTCGCAACAATGAGGTCTATGCCACTAGCCCTCTGTCTACTTGGAGATGCTTACAGTTCCCTAGAACAGGAGTGTGCCTTAGGGATGGTGGGCACAACCCCAAGACGCCTTCTGTGCACATCAGGCTATCCAGCTTTTCCAAAGTGTTCCATGAGGCTTTAATGGATGCTACAAGAGGAGGAAGAGTTTCAAGGTAAAATAAATTTGAGCTATATTTACATTGTTAAATGCAGCCTTAAAATGCTAATGTGCGTCTGAGGAAAAGAATGCAGATGATATTTTGGACTGTATTCCACCCAGAATTCCCTCTAACAAACTCCCAAATTATGTCAATATGTACAGCTTGGGTGTCATTGGTATATTGTGTCCTGTTCCAGGCTCTTTGAGACCCTGAAATTTCAGATGTGTATTATCCCTGGTCATCTCTGCGTCCTATATTTTCCAATGATGCTGAACAATTTCAGGTCCTGGGTTACCTTTGGGATTCAGCTTAGATGCCACCTTTATCAACAAGCTCCCCGACCATTACAAGGATGAACACCCTTCCTGGTGGTGCCAAACAGGGGACAGCTATCTATCTTGAGAAGCCGCTTTTGGTGTGTCCTTTCCTGTAGCTCCCCGAAGGCAGRTGCTATTACATTTTTCATGTTCAACATCATGCCTAGCCTATAAAGGGCTCAATCAATGATCATGTGTTGTTGAATTAGGGCCATTCTCATTTATGAAGCCTATGCCAGGGCAAAATAAGTGACAGACCCTGCCCCAAAGGCTGCTTCCGATGTTTGTGATTTAATGGGGAGAGGAGATTGCAGGTAGATTTATTCCATGTACACCACAAAAGGTGCTGAAGGGTAGTGTGTAAATAAAATTCAAAAAGATTTCCACTGTTACTCATTTCAGACTGACCTCATACTGATTTCATCATCTAATT